TTTGGAGTAATCGTTTTAACACTGCAAACAGCACTTCCCTGAATGTGACTTGAATTTTTTATTAATATGATGTTTGGATCATGAGAAGACTCATTCAGCCAAGCTGACTTAAGACATTAAATGACTAGTTAACCATATACACTAATCACATAAATATGGTTTGTGGAATGATATAAAATGGTTTATGAAATCGTTTTTAAGCCATCTTTTCAACAGTAATTGTATCAGTCCTGTCATATTTTAAACCAAGTGATATTGGCAAGAATGAGCCTAAATGTCTTTAATATTCTGATGATGAGCATGCAAAATTGCCCCTGCAATAAAATGACAGGGTTGTGTTCATTTCTCTTCTTCCATGGCACTTTGCTTTCTTCCCTTTCAACTTTAAAACACTTCCTACAATTTCATCATGGGAGAAGGCTGTATAAGTTTCCATTGCCGTAATTTACTTAAACCATAAAATTGTTTCCAGATTACCAACTATAAAATGGAAAGACAATCTTATTTATGAATGTATAAATCAGATAATGTCCCCAAAATGAATCCTGAAAGCAGACACACTTTGATGATTAAATAGGAGGGAAAATGTTTTCTCATTACCGTGTGTCAAAAGAATTGTATTTTTGTGAAGTGGCTTTGGCCAAGACAGTAGAGCATACACATGTATTTGGTGCTGTGTGTACTGCCTGCTCCCACCTGGGAGGGAATGACTTCCCCTCTACTGTCAAGCATCTGAACTCTCCGGGGGGGTGTCAGATGAGAAGCCACCTGACTCAGAATCTCTGATGCAGCATGTCTCTTTCCTGGTGACCCTGCAGGTGACATATCCTGAAAGAGGCCACCCAGGGAGCCTTCACTCCCTTCCTCACGGATACAAAAAGGCAAGCCAAGCATGTGGGTACCTGGAGTGGGTATAGCCCTTTTGTTCTAAAAGCACCCAAACTCTTATCCCAGGCAGTTCTGCAACTCTGTCAATATCAGCCCTAAAGAAGAATAGGATATTGTTTGGGAGTTGTCTCTCTCTGCACCCTAAAACTATTATCTGTTGGAAGCCCAGGGTAGAAACTGAGTACTCACTGAGCCAAGGAACATGCCGAAGGTGTGTCTGCAGCCCCACGGACTTCCATGTGCAGATGACGTGGTCTGTGTTGTGACATTCTACAGTTCTCAACTCAAGGATGAATCAGTAGAAGACCAATGTTCTTTATCCAGAATGATTCAGTTGCTCGATCGATCTTCCTTCCTTCCTTCCTTCCTTCCTTCCTTCCTTCCTTCCTTCCTTCCTTCCTTCCTTCCTTCCTTCCTTCCCGAC